TCTCTCTCTCTTCAGCTCGCTACAGGGGGAGGGGGGACCCCCCGCAGAAATATTTTTAGCGGCTTCTTGAGGACTTCGAGCAGTAGCATCGCCCCCTTCCGTGCCAGAGACGACTTGTTGTTCAGCGGACTGCTCGATTTTCTTCCTCCTCCTCCTCGTCTGCTTTGTGAGCCAGCCAACGTAATTCACGAATTTCACTCGCTCTTCCATTCGTTCAACTCAACAATAATCAACAGCGTCCCTTCTCTTTCCGCTTCGTTTTTACTACTTTTCCATTTTTTTTTTCGTGCATCTCAGGATATCTGGTGTACCAGACGTTCGTTTCGTCTCTTCAAACGATTATCACAATTCTTGGTGCGTGACATCCCTAATGTGAGTGTGTGCGTGTGTGTGTGTATGTGTGTGTGTTTTTGTTGCGTGTCATCACCACGACACTCAATCTTTTACGATAAAATGGTTGGGATTTTTTTTATGATAAAAGTCAAAACCGCCAGCTTGTTTCTAGCTTGCTTCTAAGCGCCCCCCAAAGAAGGGGCCGTTATTGGTTACTTTTGACAGTTCGGCTACCCCCTGGTGCCTCTGTTTGTCAAAAAGTGAAAAGTTTCTTCCTATTTTAAATGTACAGGATCTGTACCAATATATCATCGCTTATACGCTGCTGCTGCTGCGCTGGCACGAGCATTTCTTGAGGTCATTTTTGCAATGTTTCAGGAGAAGAGGCATCGATGTGCCGGGCGATGATGATGCTGCACAGTCCGCCATGCTTCGTGCTCGGTGCTTCAGTCGTTCACGTTATTCTCTGAGTGTGCCACTGCTGAACTTGCTGCTGAACTAATCCCGGGGGGAATTTTGCGCGAAAATGTCACTGGCCAGTACCTATCACTCGCACAAGCCGAATGTGCCGATTATTATGGAGGATGTGTTTGGGTGGGTGCGCGAGGGCAATACATTTCAAGTGCGCGTTTGGCTGGATGACAGCGAGCACGACCTCAACATCGGGTAAAATCCATTTGCCACTCAATCTCATTTTCACCTTTTTTCAGTACTGAAAAATTTAGAATGGTACTAACTTGCTAATGAAAATAATGAAATTAAGCAGTTTTTAAAGGTTAAAGCAAAACGGGGTAGGACGTTTCTTACGACCGCACGTGTAATTTGGTCGTAGTGTAGACCAACGAAGGAAAACAGTCGAATTTTAATATGTGGTCAAACTCCAAAAAAAGGCATTTAGGTGTCTCAGGTATGCAAACCGGTATTTAGAGTTGGCGACGTCTGTGTTTCATCCCTGAACTGTACAAATGAAAAATGCATTGCAGCAAAACTGTGTTTGTTTTTTTTTTGTTTGTGCAAGTGCGCCCGTTGGAATGGTTCAGTTACGAATATACTCGAAAGTAC